ACATGCACACTAACAAAAATTATCCTTTCACACTCATAAAAAAACCATAACAATAGAATAATAAAACAATGAACAATGCCTTTTTTATATAATAAATAGAAACATTAAAAAAAAAGAGATTTCGTGTTAAGTGACATGTATTAATTAATATATTAACTAAATTAGGACTAATCAAGCGAAATTCTCAAATTATTTAATCAAGAAGATTCTTTCTATTGAGGATGAATGTTATATAGTCCTGTGCTTTAAATAATAATGATGATGATGATAATAATGATAATAATGATAATAATGATAATAATGATAATAATGATAAAGTTTACAAATTTATTCTTCTTACGTCAACTATTAAAAATTATTAAAATAGTTTTTTGTCTTGTAGTAATAAAAAATGAATGATAATAATAATAAAAAAGGTAGAAATTAATTTCGTAATCAATAAATAATATCATAATCAGGGTTGGTGGCGTAAAGGGGTGGGATCCTAATTTAGTAACATAATTTATGAGACAAATATCTCGTCAGAGTTACGCACTCAGCCCTGATAAATATGTGTGAATCACGCAACTCAAAGCACATGTTCTTTAACTTAGTTGAACAATTGACTGGGGGGAAACTTATTCATCAAGATATGTGAAAATTTGTATGAAATACGATATTTCTTTTATAAGTACCACCTTTCGTAAAGCTCAATAATATATATACACACTAATATACTCTGGCGACAATTAACTTTAGCTCGATGATATCACATATATAAATTCAAAATTGTATTTAAAAACCTTTCCCAAGCTCCTTCTATGTAACATAAAATCGCGCATATTCTACAATTTTGAGACTTTATGATAACTTATAATGCTCTTTTTCCAAAAGTTATTCCGGTAACAAAGTACCATATTAATATTGAATAAAATAATTATTGACGGCGGATTATATTTAATATTAATATTAATATATTAATATATTAATATATATATATATACGACCGGTAATATATATAGTAAAGATTAAATGTAACACATAACCAAAGAACCTGATATTATTCTTGTCCTCCTGGTCTTATCTATATATTACTATGATACTATGAATACATCGGAGCAAAGCATTGTGAAAGTATGATGATCTTTCCTGAAATGAAGCTTACAATTTATCAATATTTGTGTACAAATCAAAAACTTTTTTTTAGAACTTTGACAATGACTTTGTGTGTGAAAATGGAATTAGCCAACCAAAAAGAATTCCGCACCTCTCCATATTTGATTGGCTAATTTCAAAAAGTCTTTTTATCACCTAAAAAATCATACAACTAATTTTTATCCAATTTTTAATCTTTCCAAAAAAAATCCCAAAGTAATCAACAAAAGAAAAAAAAATAGTAAACCCAAAAGAATTAATGAAAGATGGTTGGTTGTTTTATGAAATGATCCGGAATATTATCAAGGAAAATGACATTAACCAACTTTTTAAAACCTGAATATAGAAAGATTTAAAAGGTACGCTTACGCGACTTGATTATTGAATGTTTCACAGCGTGTCTTGTGACTCATTCGTCTATTATTATTATTTTGCAGAGTGTATTTTGCCATTATGCTAAAGAATATTCAAATTAAGAATTGGTGCTAATAATTTAGGAGTTTGCGTATTAGATTCTAGTATAAAAGAATAAAGGAAGATGAGGATGAAGAGCTTTCTAGTATATTTGATCATAAACATCGGATATGGGCTTTCAAGTTAGTTGGTGAAATAGATATAAACTTGAGAAATTATATATGATTCTCTTAGAAAGAATGAAGAAGTATGTTATTTATACCAAATTGGAAGTTTGGGCGGTATTCTCTTTTCAGCAGATGGTTTTGCGGGCGAATTATTGACTAAGATAAAGAATCATTTTTTAATTTCAATTTTAAAGAATCAACTTTGCAATTAGCAAAAAAAATATATATATCAAAGAATATTATTATGTAAAGATGATTTTAATTCAATAGATTCACAAATGATCCGGTGGCGGCAACTCACATTAACACAATTTTAGAAGTTTCACAGATCGCTTGTCCTGGAATGAATTGAGTTCAAGTAAAATAAATATTTTTAAAGGTTTAACTGAATATTTGGGAAGAATATATGTATGAACTAGAAGAAAACAACGAGGCTTTCAGTTCTCTCGCTTTTTTCCTATATATCATTCATATTCCGTTCAGTTTTGGTGAAAGCAGTGGTCCTTAGAATAAAGTCCCTAAAGAATTTTAAGTGAAAATATATGCCAAATCAAAAAAATAAATACAAAGTTGTAAATGTATGTTATGAAAGAAGATTTTTACAAAATCAATTTTTAATTTGGAGATCATATAGTTCGTAATAAATTTTAATAATTTTATCGTTATTTTCATTTCATATATTTGAAAAAAGAAAAGCCCTATGTATTTTCTTTTCATCTTCTCTATTGATGGATTTATGGTGATTTGATAGAATTACCAGGTTTGAATTTTTTTAATTTTAAAAATATCATTATATTATAATAATTTATTAAAAAAAAACTTATTAACATTTTGATATTCTATTCTAAAAAGTACAAAGGCCTTCTCTAGCTTTACTAGATAGTGAGAAATGAAGATCTGTCATAGTGAGAAGCTGGTATTATATGCACTCAATAAAGAGCCAATAGAGATTAATCCAAATAAGATTTAGGTATGAGATTCAGGGGTAATTTCACTGCGGTTGATGGATGATAAAAAATATATATAGAAAAAATGCACTTTTAAAATTACAAATAAAAATTATCAGCAAGTATTTATTTAGTCCTTGTATGATCATTAAAATATAATACTTTTTATGCATAATTATAATAATCAATATTAGAATTTAATAGGAAAAGAGCCATGACGAAGAAAAAAGAAGTTGCTGATATGGATCCACTGTATAATAATTTATCCTCGGAACTAAAAAATTTCTTAGACTATGACCGGTCAAAGTTGGTCTAATTTAGATAATTAATTATTCACAACAGTAAAAAAAATAATAGATTTTTTTGAATGTAATCTTTAATCACTTGCTTATTTACATTGATTTTTAGACCGGATGCATTTAATACTGGGAAACAGACATAAAGAACTAGAGCAACTATGTAAATGGCTATCGGAAGTACCCTAGACCAAACTGGAAATTAATTGTCTGAAATGTCATATGCAATTTAAATTAAATGAATGAAACTTTTTTGTTTTAAATAAGTTATTAATAATATGTATATGACCTTTTAAGTCCATGCCAATTGTGGAAAGAAAAAGAATAGACCACTGTTTGCGTTTGGGAATGGGGCGCAGTGAAAACGAAAGGCTTTAGTATTTTGCCTGTGAAGGTATTTCAATACATATTTATTTTGTAGTTTCTAATTCGTTTCCTATACATTAGAAATTGATGATTCATTCATCTTTTATTTTTCTAGCGGTTCACGAAGCCCCTGTCTAAAAAAAGTTTTGTTGTAACAATTGATGAGTTTAGAACATCAAAAAACTCTGTCTCTATTGTTGCAACTAATTTAATAATATCTTTGTCCAAAAAACATAATACCACACAGGTAAATTTTGAGAAATACTTGGCAAAACAAAAACACTCATAAATAAAATTAACACATAATAATTAAATCTTTATTAGGACTAAAAAATCGGAACAAAGGGAAAATTTGCTGTATTAATGACATTAGGGCTATCCTTCACACAACAAATTCTTGTCCAGATGCTATTGGTATATTATTATTTACTATTATTTTATTTGTGGAATTTGTTTTATTTTTAGATTCAAGACAAGTTTGGATTATGCAGTTCAGACAAAGGTCATACTCCACCCTATATCAGAAATGGATATTGATTGAGTCATATCTGTAAAAATGCTTAAAATAATTTACATTTTCTCAATCACTTACAATTGGCGTTCGATACTTGATTTTATAAATCAAAATTTCTTATATAGTATAATAGGTTCAAAATCCTATTATAAAATTCCGGGCATCCATATAAAGCCATTTTTCCGGTTACGCGTGTATAAACTTGGATTAAATTTTACTTGTACAATTTCTCATTCGAATCATTATTATTATTTCGATTTATTAGTTTTTTACAAAATATTAATTCACAACTTGACGCAACAAATTCTATATGGTTATTGTTATTATTGTTAAGGGGTTGTAAAATTACAAATAAGGTCATATTTCCTTTAACAAGATAAATGGTTACTAGTACTATGACCTAAGAAAAGAAAAGAAAATGAAATGGTCAATTACTTCTGCTACCATTATTTTCACTATATATAAGGACCACAAAGGAAAAATGGATTGATAAAGAAAAAATAATTTGATTGGATTGGATTAGCAATGTGAATAAATGGTATTATTTTATTCCAAATTGTTTTATTCGAATAACTTTCAATGTAATTCGAATACTCGAAATATAAAATGAAATTTTTTTTTGGTTCGATATTTTTTGAAGATTTCCAGTAAAATTTTCCCAAATAGGGTATTACCCCGATATTTTTTGATTACACATTTCGCACCCTGTTACCGTATAATGACTTTTTAAGTAATATTGAAAAAATATCATAGCTTTGAAATGAAAAGTAATGCTGTTTTTGAATAACAATAATTTCACAAAGCATTCGTTCATTTTATGATGTTTTAAGCTTGTTATAAAAATAAATATAAATGAATCTCTTTTCAGGTAAGACGGCTGGCATATTGTGTAACAATTAGACATGACCAAATTTTTTTTAATTTGATAGATAATATTAAATGTTATTATGCAGACCCTCTAATTCTTGTACGATACACCATTTAAGCTTTGTCCACTCTGGCATGCTATAAAAAAAGGATAACAACGTACTACATACCTAGAATGACAAAATTGTGGACCAGTTGAAGTTACTACTAAATATTGCAAAGAAGAACGTCGTAATTATGTAATTATGTAAGCCGAGGAGAAGTAGACTGCCACGTAGTAAAGAATGTTGTAAATATGATTCATCGGATCAATAATGATACAAGAGGATATGGTGATTATAGTGGTGTTGGTAGATATGGTGCTCAAATGATTATGCAATGTCTGCTACTAACTAATGCCACCGACATTAAAAAGTGAATATGGTTGGATTAAAGCGGCTGGTCTAGTTTGGGGTGTGTGTGAAATTCTCTTATAATCCAATGACAGCAACAACAACAATCGAAGACGATTATAAGATATTTTGGAGAAGATGCCATCCAATGATACCAGAAAATGAAATGCTCTCTGTTACCCAATTTGATATAACAAAATGAGATATTAGCATCTACATGGGATAATGGTATGATAATATTCGACAAGCATTTTTAAAGAAAATAGGTTTATTTATTTATAACACAAATTCATATGTGTAAATATATACAACAAACAAGTAATTAAAGTAATTAAAGTAATTAAATAAATGTAACAAATAATAATTTAACAATTTCTATAATTAGAATAATAATAAATTATATAATGCTATAAAAAAACCATCTTTTTCCTTTCCATCCCTTCAAAATCAAATATCTTCTTTCCCATTCATTCAAATTAAAAAATCAAAATCAAATCAAAAATGTATAACAAAAAATTATCAACAACTTTTTTACTCCTCGTTGTATTATTGGCAATGGCTACTATCATAAACGCATTACCTGCTCCAGATGTTCCCAAAGAAGAATTTGGAGAAGAGGCTCCATACGGCAAATAAATTGGTGAAATATGAAGAGAAAAATATTTAACCTGAAGAAGAAATTGAAATAATATGAATAATACGCAAGAAATAATTTTCTGCTATTTTTAAATTATTACAATTAAGAAGCAAACAATTAATATTTGTTAATTTTTTTTTTTACAATTATTTTTGTTTTTGTTTTTAATTACTTTTTTTCCTTCTATTATTATTAATTATGTATTTTTTAATTTAATATATAATAAACAATCATTTAAACAATTGTATTTATTTATAATATAAAAAAGAAGAGCGCTAATTCCAATCTGCCACAACAAAATCAGCTTCTTTCTCGGCCTCTGTGCCATACCTTTCACGAATATATTCTCGTAATTTCTTATTTTCGATTTCAAATTGTTGAAGTTTATTAAACGTGTCATGTTCGTTTAATTTTAAAGTCGAGCTACTACTGCCACTATTACTGCTATCAATATTATTATAGTTACTATTACTATTCATAAAGAAAAATCCATTGTTATCAGCAATATTATTATTAGAAGAGTAAGAATAACGGAAATCACAATAATCTGTAATATCATTTGTTGATATTGGAATGTTCTGTGTTGTGGAAGTGGCTGGGGTGACTGGAGTTGACAATTGATAATATTCTTGATTCCATTGATTTGAATGATTTGAAATTTGTGGAAAATAACTATTTTGTCGCTGATTTTGTTGATAGGAAGAAGATGGGTGGGGGGAAGAATGTAAAAGTGGAGGTGTTTGCGATGGTAAAGATTTTGTCGTGGTGTTTTTATTATTTGTGGATGAATAATAAAGTTTAACACTTGGTAAAGAAATGCAACTATTTAATTTACGTTGACGAACTTTCTGTTCCTGTTGTTGTTGTTGTTGAGAATTATTTTCACTATTATCATTATTAGCATTACCATTCTCAGTACTATTATCCGAGGAAGAGGATAAAGTTGCTGTTTGCTGATTTTGTTTTGTTAATAATAAATTTTTAAAAGTTTTTGTGTGAATTGCGTGTTGATAAATATTTGTTTGACGTATACGTGATTCTTCCAACGAAGATCTTCTGATAACTCTTTGTCTATTAGTATCATTCAATCTATTTGTATTATTGTTATTGCTGATATATGAAGTTGGTAAATATGAATTATTATTAATGCTATTAATGCTATTAATGCTATTATTAATATTATGAATCACACCATCTTCTGAATATTTATAATTTATTTCATTATTAGTATAAAAAGTCTCGCATTTCTCTTCCTCATATTCACCATCTTCACCCAAATCGTCATTATATTCATCCGAGTCATCATCATACCCATCGCATTCATCCTCATTATTCTCATCAGTGTCATTGTCATAATTATTATTTTTAATTTTTAAAGAAGAAAAAGAAGAATGTGATGATGATGATGATGATGAATTGGTGATGAAAGATGAACATGATGATGATAACAAGTCAGATTCTTTGAATCCTTTGGCGTGTGGATTATAATTTTTTTTCAAGGTATTGACAATTTCATTTTGATAATGTGTTACAGCTATGAAAGTGGCTTTTTCAAAAGTAAAATATTTTTCATCATTGGAATCTCCATGATTTGAATATTTGATCATACAAATACGTGGTTGATATTTGTGAAAAGATGTTAAACAGAAATGACCTTCAGGTAGCACGGATCTTGTTGGATTATTATTATCGGTGGTGGTGGTAGTGGTATATTTGTTGATTTTGTAATTTTTATGGCTTATTTTGGTGTCGTTATTGTTAATACGTAATTTATCACGTTTTTTCGAGGATTGACTTAAACTTGGTCTATTTGTTAATTTGATTTTTGGAAAGCCAACACCGAAATTCATCCAATGTGAACCTTTAACAATAATATTTTACATTAGATAATAATAAGTCGATCGAAATATTATTATTATTATTACTATCATTTATTATCATTTATTACCTAATTGTGGAGAGTCTGGGTGAAGAAACGCTTCTCCATATACTCTACCAACTTTATCAGTGTCATTATCGATATTGTCATTATTAATGATATCATATCCACGATCACTATTATCAGCATTAACATTGACACTTTTATTAATATTAGGACCGTTTTTAATAAGATTATTATTGATTTCTAAATGTTTTCGTTTGTCAATCCCAATTGAAACCCAATTTCCATTTTTGAATCTGAATCTGCATGGAGACACTAGAACGAAATCGATCGAAAATGAATATTTTGTCGAAGGATTCAGATTGATCGGATTAAATTTCAATAAGGGAAAAATGCAACGTCCAACTTTTGTAATTATCATTTCATTGGTAACCAAATAAAATTTACTCCATAAATCTGAATTGTCGAGTAATAAACTTTCTGATTTTTTATTCGATGACCCTGTTGTTTTGATAAGAGAGCTCGTGTTTGAGCTTTGGTTCGGTTTTGTGTTCGTCAAAGTGTTGTAGGTATCGTAGTTATTATTATTAACATTATTATTAGTAGTTAAAAGTATAGCATTATTATTGTCGTAGTCGCTATTATTAATATTAATGTTAGTATTGTCATTGGCATTATTAACAGTGTTACTAGTAACGTTGATGATGCTCTCGTTGAAAAAGGGCAAAGATACTTGGTTTAATTGAGGAACATAATTATCATCGTCATTGTTATCATTGATATTATTGTAGAATAATTTGTGATTTTCTTTGTGGATATTTGATTCTTGTGATTGCTTTGAAAAGTCTGAATTGTGAATTAAATTTTTTATTTCCATTATTAATGTCGCTAATATTATTAACAATTAACAATCAATAATCAATCAATAAAAAATCATAAATCATAAATAATAAATCATAAATCATAAATAGTGATAGCAATAATAATGATTTTTTAATTTGGAAGTAAAACAATAGTTTTTCCTGAAAAAGGAAAAAAAAAAAAACAATCAATCAAAAAAAAAAAAAAAGTTTCCTTGGTCGTTCAAAAGATCCTAATTTTCGTAGTTTCAATTAACAAAGGTTCCGGACGCAACGCATACATTTTTTTTAATCTCGTGGATATTAATTTAAATTAATTAATGTTGTCATTTTATTTTTTTTTTTATATATAATTATTGTTAATTTTCGAGTTGGTAAAAAAAAACCATAATCGACTGTTTCTATAGAATTTTCTATATTATATTATTATTATATAATTTTAAATAATTTTCCGGTTTAATGATTATAATAACGTAGTAATACTAAGTAACAGGTTAATGGTAACAAACAGTAATAGTAATGGTGACAATGATGCAAAATATTCTCCGTCATTTAAAATATATGGAAAAATCTTTTGACGCTTCTTAAACTCCCTTTTATTACTTACAAAATTGGAAATTCATTTTATTATTATTATTATGCATACAATGACCTTTTCTGGGAATTTTCCGAACACCCCATAGAAGGTTTCTCAGTATACTACATTATATATATATTCTTTATTAATATTAAATATTAAAGAAAAATTTGTTTGACAATAACAATAATAATAACGCATAAATTAAAGTTTCCTTATTGTTATCAAAAAAGGCAAAATTTGTATATATATATGGCTAATACAAATAATTTTCAAAAAAAAATTTCTCATAAAACAAAAATATAATAAATAATAAAAAGTATTTCAAAATGAACTTAAAAGAATTAGCGAATTTACCAATCTTAAAATTTAAAGAAAAAAAGCTGTTTACAGAAGCAATCACTCATAGAAGTTACTCATACGAAAACATTAAAGTAAATTACAGTTATGAAAGACTGGAATTTCTTGGAGATTCAATCGTAAATTTGATGGTTGGAGATTTCCTGTATAAAAAATTTCCCGATTATGAAGAAGGAAAATTAACTGAACTACGTTTAAAATTAATTTGTGAAGAAACTTTCGCTCAATTTAGCTTGGCGATTAAATTAGATAAGCATATAAAATTAGGAAGAGGCGCTGAATCAATAAGAAATGGAAATAAATTGTTGGCCGATGTTTTCGAATCATACATTGCTGCTGTGTTCATCGACTCGGGTAGAAACTATCAAGTAGTTTATGATTATTTAACCCCTTTATTAGAATCTTCCGTTTCTCAAATAGTGATAGACGATGGTGACGATGACGACGATGACAATGATTACAATAACGACGAAGTTGATTACAACAACGTCACTGAAAATACAAATTACGGACCAATTGATTTCAAAGTTGACAAAAATCTTGATCCTATTAATCGATTACAAATTTGGGCGGTAAAAAGAGGGTTTGAGACCCCAATATATGATGATCTTACTCCAAAAGATGCACCAAATACCAACAACACTGAATTCAGATTTAAAGCCATCATCAATTCTAAAATTCATGAAATACATCGCCAATTAGAAAGTGAGGGTGTTGGCAGAAATAAAGCTTCTGCTAGAAAGAATGCAGCTGAAAATGCTATTATCAAATATTTCTCTAATATAAATAGAATAGAAGGGAAAGAAATGACGACGGTGGAATAAAAAGAAATATTGATGATAATAACAATAACAATAACATTGGTAATGAATGAATGATGATTCATTATATATATTTGATAATAGAAATAGTTTTTATAAAAAAATTTTTTGGATGTAATTTACTTTTTTTTTTCTTGATAATAAAAATTCTTCTTCTAAATTTCGTCGTATATATAGTACAAATTTAAAAATTATCTCTAGAAACCCAAAATTTTGATTGGATAATAATGTTACACGCGCCTTTGTACTCTCTCATTTTTCCTCGCTAAAACACATCTAAATTTTTAATTCAAAAATTTTCAAGAATGACCAAAAGCAATAAAAACAATAACAAGAAAAAAAGAAAAAGAACCAATAATAATGATGAAATTAATAAAATAAAAAAACCAAAATTACTAATAAAAGATAATAGTAAAGATAGTAATAATAAAGTTCAAAAAGATTTTATTGATATTAATCAAGCAGAATGGTCTAAAGTAATGTGTCCAGACTCTGTTTTTTTAAATGATGGATTAGGCGGGTTTTTATGTTTAGAGGAAATTGATGGCATTGATATAGAATATGATGAACATACGGGAGCAAGTGATGGAAAAACTGTCAAATTTAAAGTAAAGAAAACATTTGATTTGAAATTCAAATTTATAATTTAAATAATTATAAATAACTAAATTCTTGTTGAAAAAAATTTAGAAAGTTAAATCAAAAAAAAAAAACTTAAAGAAAAACCCCCCTGCTAAACCAGAAGAGCCTTTATCCATGGAAGTTAATGAAGATCAAGATAAAAACATGGATATAAACCACAAAGACGTCAATGATTTACAATCTGAAAGTGAAGAAGAAGAACAAGTTATTGTTGACAATAAGATAGCTGCTGAAACACAAATTATTGAGACTTCAAATGAAGAATTATTAGGTAATAAATTATTTAGTTTTTTTTTTCAAAATAGTTTTATAATTTTCTTTTCTATTTCTATTATTAAAGATTCGGGAAAATCGGCATGGGATCGGTTCAATCTTTCATCTGATATGATGAAAGGCTTGGAATTGCTTAAATTTGATAAACCAACACCAATTCAAGAGAAAACATTGCCTGCCAGCTTAACTGGTAGAGATGTTGTGGGTGCAGCAGAAACTGGTTCAGGGAAAACACTCGCTTTTGGTATTCCTATCTTAGAATACATCATTAAAAGGAAAAACAACAATGAAAATCAGTTCAACGAACTTGTTGGACTTATTTTGACTCCCACTAGAGAATTGGCCATTCAAATAAAAGATCATCTTCAGAGTATCAGCAAATTTTCTTCAATCAATGTAACTCATTGCTTATTTATTTATTTAACTATAATAAAAAGTCGTAATGAATGTGCCTATATATATATGTGTGTGTGTGTGTGTATGTATGTATGTACGTATGTATTTATATATTTATATATTTTAGATAATGGCAATAGTAGGAGGGATGTCTTTACAAAAGCAACAAAGGTTACTAGAAAAAAATCCAAATGTTATTATTGCAACACCTGGGAGATTATGGGAAATATTTTCAGAGGTAAAATGTTCTTGAAGAATTTCAAACCAATATTCTATTTGGATATTGCTGATTTTTATTTATTCATCTAAATTATAGAAGGACGCTTTTATTAAAAAACTTCGACTTGTAAGATTTTTGGTTTTGGATGAAGCCGATAGAATGCTCGAGAGTGGACATTTTAAAGAATTAGATCATATCCTTTCAGTTTTATCTTTGGAAAGACAGTGAGTTATATAATTTTTTCATAATTTTATTGTTTTCGATTTAAAGGTCAAGAAAAATTAATTCTTTGTATAATTGAATTTTAAAGAAACACAGATCATCAGGATTCAAATAATGGTAAAAAATTATTACTTTTGATTAATTATTATTGCGTATATAATTTTTTTTTAATATTATATTATTGAATTTGTTGTTTTTCCTTCTTAGCTGTGCAATCAAGACAGACATTTGTATTTTCAGCTACTTTGGATAAAACATTGAAGGAAAAATTGAAGCAAAAAAAAGGCTTCATGACAAAAAATCCAAAAAATAATAATTCTTCAGGAACTCTTGGTAATTATAATATATTGGAATTTATTTTTTAAAAACTAAAATTATTATTTACAACTATATTGAAATATATATAAATATGCGATAGATGAATTAATGCAAAAACTGGAATTTAGAGATCCAGATCCTGTGTATGTTGATATTACACCCGAAAATGCTGTAGTTACCACTTTGCAAGAATCTAAAATTGATTGTTTAGCTAAAGACAAGGTTATTAAAATCTCTTAATTTTTTTTAATCTATAACAACGTTAGTAAGCTAAATTAAATATATCTTTTTTTGCTTTTGTATACTTGCAGGATTTGTATGTTTATTATTTTATAACATGTTATCCAGGCCGTACATTAATTTTTGTCAATAGCATTGACTCGATTCGTCGGCTTGTTCCAATTTTGAAATTATTGAAAATTGAAGTTATTGGATTTCATGCACAAATGCAACAAAGGCAACGTCTTAAGAATTTAGATAGGTAACTTTAAAAAATAATTTTTTTAAAAAATGCCATAAACTAGTCTAAATATATGAATATATAAATAGGTTCAAAGCAAATGATAATGTGGTGATGGTTGCAAGTGATGTGGCTTCGCGTGGCTTAGATATACATCAAGTGGATCATGTGATTCATTATCATTTGCCTCGTTCTAGTGATGTAATTCTTGATTTTTTTAATGATCTTTTTTGGTATTATACCACTATTTTTAATTATTAAAATTAATATTTCTTTATTAGATATATGTTCATCGTAGTGGGCGTACAGCACGTGCAAGCAAGGAAGGTGTCAGTTTGATTTTATGCAGTCCTGAAGAATTGAGCTTATACAGAAAATTGTGTCAGAAGCTAAATAAAGGTGTGTGTATACATATTAATGTAAACTACAATCATTTAGTTCAAGTTCGTATTTGATTTGATTTTTTTTTTTTGCGAAAAATAAATACAAATTGACAGTTGGGATTGCTGAATTTCCAACGAATGGAGGATTTGTCAACATGATGAAACAAAGAATTGAGTTGGCAAGACAAATTGATCAAGATGAACATAAATTACAAAAGGTAATACTCGAAGGTTATATTGTTACTTTTCTTTTGCACCATTAAATCTATTATTAATTACTTGATTCCATTTTTTTCTTCACATTGTCAGACAAATTATGAAGAAGATTGGTATAAGAAAGCAGCAAAAGATTTGGATGTTGATTTAGATGATAATAGCTCGTAAGGTTTTATTTACTTATTAATTATTAATTATATGGATAAACCTAAATATAAATATACTATATTATAAGGATGAACAACAAAAGTCAAACTAGTAAAAAACAACAAAATTTTATTAAAGGAAAAATTAAATCAATGAAATTGGAATTAGATAAACTTTTATCACAACCATTAATACCAAAAGGGGTTTCTACCAAATATTTAACAAGTGGCGTTGTTAGAGATTTAGCTGACAGATTACTAGACAAATCATCATGTGAGTTATCATTAATTTTTCTTTTTACTTGCTGCATTTCTTTTCTACTATTATTTATTATTTATTGTTGTTGTTGTTTTGTCATTCTTATAATTATAGGTAACCAAACCATATTGGGCTATAAGAACATTAAAGCAACTGATGATTTTAAATCAAAAAAGAAATCCTTTAAAAACAAAAACAAAAAAAATTTTTTTTCTAGATCAAGTGCAGAATAAAGTCAATTCAATGTCATGTTTATTATTATTAATTTATTTGAAAATTACTTAAATCTTTAATTCAACCAATTATATATCGGTAATACCAAAAAAAAATTTTTAATAATTATTAAAGGAAATTTTCTACAGACCATTTTATAATAGTATTATGCAATTTACGATTTACATTATGCTATTTGATACTTGATAATAATTGCAATTGGTGATTTTGCAAAGGTTTGTCCATGAACTTTTGATAACGAAATTTTTGAGGAAGGATTCTAGCACATATGGGGGGATTCGAAATTCTGAAAAACTCCAATTTGAGTCAATACCAAACTCATATGTAACTCTTTAGGTAGAACATTTTTGGCTTAGAAACCATCACTTTGAAAAAATGCAGATCTAATTTTCAGAGTTTCACGCGCACTGAATTTTCACACAAACATTTTACCAAATTTGGAAATCAATTCAAGGAATTATCATCCTAAAATCTCTTTTTTTTTATTTTTAATAATTAGTAACAATAAATGTTAGCTAGATCACTATATTTGTATGAGGATATTGCAAACAAATATCCAGAAACAAGTTGATGTCCCAGAAAAATGATGGTGACATACAAACCATCACTAAAGACACCTGCTGTAATTGGTTATTTGTGGCAATGGTAACTACCATTTACGGCGGCCGCAAATAAATACGGCTGTCGTAAATAGATACGACTGCTCCAAATAGACACGGTTTCCATGAACAGCTACGGCCGCCGCAAATAGACACTGTTGCCGCAAATAGCCACGCTGTTGTAAATTTTGTTTTTACGCTGTAAATGAATGACCGACTAATTTGCAAAAAATTCAGTTGCTGATCACAAATAACAATTCAAGAAAATTTTCACATGGCTAATATGACTAATAATACATGCATTTTCCGTGCTTAACATTTACGGAGAATGCGCGGAAAATGCACAATAAAAAGAAAATGGACTAATACGGAATGTATTTTCAGGACAATATGTACGGAAAAAGCGCTCTTTTCATGTATAATTCCGTACATATTCCATACAAAGTGCACGGAAAATGTATGGAAATACCATACATTTTCTCTGAAAACTTTTTATAGGGACCCCAGACGATTATAATTGAGGTCATATGCTCTATGCTAGAAAATTGTCATCCTGGGTCCATTTTAAAAGCTATGAGCATGAAATTTTGTCAGAATAGATGGTTCCCATTTATCTATAACTAAGGTTGCATGCCGAAACCTGTTTAGCCTAATGCAAAAATGCCAAAGTTTCAGTTAGGGTTTCTATTCGAATTAGTTATTTTATTCATTATGATTTCAAATTACATTGAAAGTTAATTCGAATAAAACGAGTAATTCGATAAACGAATAAAATGAGTAATTTGAATAATTGAATAAACGAACAAAGCAAGTAACAATATCAATATTAATTTGTATTACGAGTAATATTAGTATTAATTTGTATTACGAGTAATATTAATATTAATTTGTATTATGAATAATTCGAAATTAATTAAAAATAGTCGACAAAAAATTTTTAGTCGGTTTCGGTTAAACTATAAAGAAACTATATTAAAATCTTACTAGCAGTTATACCGAAACTATTGGGGAAAGCCAGTTATAGTTTCGGTATTTTCATTTTGGCGATTTCGGGTATTTTCGGCATAGGCCATTCCGCCGAAACTCCCTAGTTTCAGCAAGCTATAGCTAAAAAATGAGATTTGATTATTTAGAATATAAATTAATTTAGTCGTTTAGACAATGTTGAAATTGAATTTTTTATTGGATAATTTATTAAACTGTGTATATCCACATGACTTTTAGTCTTATTTAAAGCAAATCATTACTATTTATATTAATTTAGACATTTTTGTCTAAATACTATTTTGACTTTAGACAACCCCAAAAACAATTTAGACACCCATCTATACTTATATATACTGTATCAGGGTGGAAATGAGGCATAAATGACCAAAATTTTGCCCTATTGCACGACTTTATCTAATCGATGGATCTATAATATCCTTCCTGACGCCAAAAGATTCACTTTAAAAGCTACATTTTTTACTATGTTGTTTGATGGCATTAACTTTGATAAATAACGTGTTAGATACTATGTAAAGTTTTACAACATAGTAGCATATGACCTCAATTATAATTGTCCAGGGGCCTGTCTTAGCTTCAAACTACGGTTTTTTAGTTTTACATTTCCATTTTTGGAGGAATTAAAGAATATACACAGCCAATAAAAAGTTCGGCGACTAGGTGACTTACACCATACAGTCAAAGCTCATTATAGTGGACCCTTGGTTCCATATGTAATTTTTCTCCTTTTTTCCACTATAACGAAATTTTATTATGTTTTCCACTATATCGAGCGAAATTAATTAGCATTGGAAACAAAAAAGGTCCACTATAACGAGATTTTATTATGTGTCCACTATAGCGAGATCCACTATAACGGGCTTTGACTGTATATTGCTTGTAAAGTGGCATAGTTGTATATATACATTTTTTTGAGCATAGATAAATTAGCCCCATATTTATAATTATAACCCCATGTATCATTTAGTATAAATGCGATTATTGGTAGTACAATTGTGATTTTACCAATTTTGAACACAGACTTTTTTGCAGCATGCCCCAAAATAAATTTAATATAAACCGTGGTTTGAAACTATCAATCGACGCGGTTCAGTAGTTTATGAACCGAACCAGTTCCCAGCATCGAATTTTAAAATTATGCAATCTTTTTAAATAGGGTTGTAATTGTATTGGTATCATGTATTATAATTGATATTAGCATAACAAATTTTTCCGTAAACAATTAACTATATATGGTGAATATCTTAATATTACCTGGTATTATATTGTATTACATGTAATTATAGTAATACGACAAATTTTTGTCATTGACATCTTTTATATCACCATTGCTTATTATTATATCCGTATTATTAACTAGGGTCGAAAAATTTAATACCGAATTAAAAGTTCTTTGCTGCCAGAATTAAAAAGGGTTTAAAATGGGTTTAAAATGGGTTAAAAGTCATTTTAAAGTATCAATTTCTGGTAAGACTTTTATTTATATTGTTATTTATTAGTTTTTTTTGTTCATTTTGTCATGTGGCTTTATGTAATAAAAAATCGACACTTTTTTTTTTTGAAATGTGACAAAACCATACATGTGTGGAAGTCCCACACAGACACAACGAATAATTTAAAGGTAATATGATATTTGATATAAAACTTTGGATTTTTGTATTATTTACAATAATATCAATATATCAATAAATATTTGTTTTAAATAAATTCGTGTAACCTTAAATCAGGCCTTTAATTATTAATAAAAATTCATTGTTTTAATTATTAGTATCAGTATTATTATAAGTATTATTTTTTTTATCAATCCTTTTTTAACAATACATTCCTCTTCGCGTATTTATGTACATTTATATCTTATAAAATTAATATAAATATGAGTTCAAAAACTGATAAAAAAAAGACAACAGCAGATAGCTTTTTCATTATTTTTAAATTCATTTATCTCTTTAAAAAAAAATATAGATCAAAGAAAATGTCGCTTGGCCTTGTAGAGTTTGACTCTAAAATAAAATACTCTAAAAACATTCCCAATGATTATTTCATTATAACTGCTGAAGCACCAGGAAAGGAATCAGTATTAAGGACTAGTATGTAATAATAATATGATGATGATTAAAGATGGGATAAATTGTTAATTATGCTAATTATAAAGTCGATTATGATAAATACTTAATTGTGTTATTTAGAGTCTCAAAGTGAGGATTATCATTTCATTGATTATGGTTCTGAAAGTTATCGTATAATTGGAATTTTTGATGGACATGGTAAATATCTATAAACACATAAACAGTATATAATAAAGGTTATAAAAATTTATTTATTTATGAATAATTAGGTGGAAGTAATTCGTTATTTGCAAAAGAATCATCTCAAATTTTAATAAACAAAATTCACGAGTTAATTCCAAAAATTGAAAATAATACAAAAGATAAAGAAATTCAAGATAAATTGACAGAATCATTTAAATTAACAAATAAAGAAATAGGTAAAATAATAAATAAATTACGAGGAAATTTATTTTTTTTAAAAAAAAAAGCGAATTTTATATATAAATAATAAATAATCATATAAATGATCATTAGCTAAGATTAAGGATAGTTCATCTCAAGGTACAACTGCTACTATTGCAATAATATCTTCCAAGAAATTATATGTGGTAAATATAACGAAAAACATATAATATACACAGATTAATATATGTATATTAATTATATGATTAATTAATTTGCAAGGCACATGTTGGCGATTCTCCTGCTTATATCGTCGATTCAAAAAATGAGTCTTCAACAATTACTAAAAATCACAACTGTCGTAATGAAGGTGAATAAATAATGATTTTTTAATGAATATTTATATTAAATGAAATTTAATTATTTACATATAATTACTTAAAATAGCTGAATGTGATCGTCTTTCTGAATTCATATCTCAATCTTCACAATATCGCTTTGAAGTACACAGTGATAACAAATGGAGAAGTAAACAAATATATTTATTAGTTGTCTATTTTATTTAATACATTTATATAACGATTTTTAATATCGGTATTTTTTTGGATGTGGAATTGTAATAATTAGTTGTAGTCAACAAAGATAATAGTATGCTTTCTAATTATGGTCTGCAAGTAACACGTTTCTTTGGTAACAAATTCTATAATCAATATAACTTACATAATGGTAAGAGCTATCTAATTATTAAATAATTAGGTTTATGTTTAAATTTAATAAATGAATTCTTTGTTTTAATTTTCATAATAAATGAATTCTTTGTTTTAATTTTCATAATAAAAGAAATTCCTGATGTAACTGAAAGATATTTAAAGGAAATGAATTTTATTTTATTGGCTAGTGATGGTAAAATTTAAAATATATGTGTATTCTTTTCAAATGATTAACATGATTAGATTTAAATTTTTTATTATTATTTGTTTTTTTTAATATAAGGTGTAAGTGATGCAGTAGAAAATTATAAACTTTTACCAAGTGATATTTTTCTAAATTTTCTTAAAAAATCTTATGAAGAGAAAGCGAACAAAAAAAAAATTTCAAAATTAGATCACAATAGTAAAGAAAATTTATATAAAGATCATCCATTATTACAATCTAGTAAAAAATTTTTAGATTTTTGTAATAGGATGTCAAACGACGACGTTACATTTATATTAATAATATGTCTGAATGGTAGAAAATTAGATGATTTGTGTGAAGAAATGATCAAGACTGCAGTTGATGACACAGAAAAATTTAAAAAAACTGAATCAGAAAAGGCGAATCAAAAAGTAATAACTTCAAAATATTTAGACGCTTCATCTGAATCATCATCACATGATAATCTTCAGACCCTTGAAAAATTAAGAATCGCTCGAGCTTCACATGAAGACCTTTTAAAAGATGATTCAACAGAATTTTTGACTTTGGAAAGCGCTGGTCTCGACTAATAATAAATATCTAAATAATAAAATATTATATATATAATAATAATGTAATTATAGTTTATCATTTCATTCTTTCATTGATAATGTTATTCATTATTAATTCACTCTACTTATTTATACTATTTCAAGTTTAAAAATTGAAGTTTTTGAAGAGTATTAGTTAAGAATGTATAACATTCTTTTTTTTTTTTAAATTAAGTTAATTCATTTAATGAATAAAATAATAATAAAATATAACAAAGTACAACTGAAACAATCATATATATTTACATATATTTATTTATCCTATCTAATGCGTATATTATAAAAATATATCTATAATAAAAATAAAAATAAAAAAAAAATAAATTCAAAATTATAAAATTTTTACCAGATTTTATGAAAAAAAAAAAGAGCGTAGCAATTCTTCAAAGATGGCCTTTCGTAAAAATCCAAATCCAGGGTTGTTTTTTTTTAAAAAAAAATATATATATAAATATATATATTTTCCCGGCGAATCCTTTGTTTATAAGAGCAGCATTCTTAAAAAAAAATAATACTATTGTTGTCCGGATGTTTGACTAATATTTTCTTGCACGCCTATGAAAAATATTGATCCAGAATAATATATATATATATATATCCAGTGTGTTGAAAACACAAAAGAGCAAAAAAAAAAAATTTTTTTTTGGTGAGCTATAACATTGTTGAGATTTTCAAGTAATCAATCAGGAAAGCAAGCAAGCAAAGAGACTCTGATCATGCCCTAAAAATTATGTAGACTGGAATCCTTGATATGCAAACAATTTTTTTTAAGAAAGTAATTTACAATACAAAGGATCAATTTTGCCATAATCCAGTAACATTCCAAGCAAAGTGTCTCAATAAAAAAAAATCATCCCATGATCCAGAAATTAAAAAATAAAATCCAGAATATGATAATGACACATACACATAAAAATTTTTTTTGAATAATAAATCAAGTTACAGTCACACACACACACACCCATATCCTTAAACATACCCATATGGACTTGAACTTCTTCTATAATCATATCCATAAGGACTTCTCGATGGACTTTTTGATCGATTTCTTGATGATGATCCATTATTATTATTGTTGTTGTTGTTGTTATTATTATTATTATTATTATTATTATTATTATAACCACCGCCAAGATTACCACGTGGTGGTGGTGATCTAGAATAACGATTATAACGGTCACGATCGCGATCCCGATCATAATCACGACTGTTACGGTCCCGGTCTCTGTCACGATCATAATCTTCATAATTAGAGTCGCCGCCACCCCCACCACCACGCGAATAATAAGGAGGTGATCTATTTCTTGAATATCGAGAAGAATGACCTCTACGATCATAATCGCCGCCACCGCCATTACCACCTCCTGGTTTTCCTCTAATTTTCAAATAAATAATATTGTTTAATAATAGTAATAATGATGATGACGATGATGATGATAATAACCATCGTTATTATTTACCTGCAATATTTTGCTAAATGACCTATTTCACCACATCGAAAACATTTTCCACTTCTAACATCCATACCCTTTTCTCTAGCGTCGGGACATTCCCTAGCCCAATGACCTTGCCCTCCACATAAAAAACATCCACTTCCAGGTCCACCAGATCTACGTGACCATTCTACGGCAATTCTAGCGCCATCTAATTCATATCCATTCAATTGTTTTACTGCATCATCAGCATCACGTGGATCCTAATATATACATGTATTTTTGTATTTTCAGAAAATTGTAAAATATTATTAATTCTTTTATTAAAATATGTACATTTTTCCAAGAGCACACCAAAAAGTTTTTCTGATACAAAGTTAGATATTTTATTATAAAAATTTTATTATTAACCTCAAACTCAACAAATGCATACCCCATAGGTTTAACATCTACACCTAAAACTTTTCCATATCTTTCAAACTGTATATATCATATCATTATATCCATTATATCATATATTGATTAGTTATAATATTTAAAAAAGTAAATTAAAGTTACCACTAAAGATATATATCATTATTATTATTTACCAACTCCTCTAGATCTCTTTTTTCTGTTCTTGAGGAAAGATGCCCTATATAGACTTTTAGATCGCACATAAATACACCAGAAAATAATGTAAATAAAATTACAAAAATTTAAATTTTTGATTATTTAGATTGCAAACATCAGGTTGATAACAATAGTATGAGCATATATATATATATATAACGTACGTTTACTTGGTGTGGTCATTATTGTTTTTCTTTGATCAAAGATTAAAAATAAATAAGTTAATTTATTTTCTTACGATATTTTGTGCAATATATGCAGATAAGTTCGTGTAACAAAATTTTTTATAATTTAATTGGTACTTTTTTCATTGCATGTAGTAACCATAAAGCAGTTGATAATAATGTTAAACTGCCAGCTTGATGAGTTGATGCTAATGAAATTGGAACCATATAAATCAATGTACAAATTCCTAATGTGGCTTGCAAACATCCAACTCCTAAAAGAAAATTGCATGCAAGACGAGCTTGTCTGGTAAGAGGAACAAAACGTGAATAAAACCACAATGATGAAATAGTTGTAAGAGTTGTGACTGCCTGTTATTATTATTATTATTATTAATTAATTAATTAATATAAATATTATTATACAAAGTTGTAAATAAAAATAAAATCGTTGTTTATTACCAGAACTCTATGATCAAATTGAACTGTAGTAGGATTATCAAAAAAATTTCTCCATATTTTCTTTTCATCTGGTCCACTATATTCCTTTGAAAATAATTCTGATGAAGGTGGTATAATATTATTGCCCATATATGGGAATTCATTATAAATAAGTCCCGCATCTAAACCTGCTACCAAAGCTCCTGACATCGAAGTTATAAACACCAATGCAGCTGTAAAATTGGTTAGTAAACGAAATCTATTAAGCACAGGATTTGAAAGAGCATAGGTTACATTCTATATATAAAAAGAAATTTATAATTAATAAAAAAATTTTTTTGGAAAAAAAAACTATTAAATATCAAATAAAACCTTAGGAAAAGTTCCTCTGGCTATTTTTGCATCACGCAAAACTTGTAAACCAGTTAAGGCCATTCCAGAATAAAGTAAAAATGCACTTCCTAAATGCGCTGCCAGTCTATATTGGCTTACACGAGGGACGGCTCCCGATGTCATCAACTCGTCAGATAATCCAGATTTGACCATATACCAACCTAAAAAACCTTGAAACCCGAGGAGTCCACCTAAACCTATAACTTTTTTGATTGTGGATTTAGACATATAACCACGAATTCCAAAATATGTTGCCGGTAAAAGAAAAGCCAAGCCAATTACACGACCCCATATACGATGACCCCACTCCATATAATAAATATATTTAAAATCAGGTAATGTCATTTGATTATTCAACCTTTAAAATAAAAGTAATTAATATGTATATCTTCTTTTTTTAAGAAATTAAACATAAATAAAACATGGATTATTATTTTTACGTAGGAACTAGTATCTATAGTTACAATTTGTATTCTGGAAATTGTTTGTATTTTTCAAAATCTTCTTCCCATTGATTTTTAGTTAAAGGAGGGAGCACACCAGTTATTGGTTTCCATTCAACTATCGAAAGTCCACTTTCAGTCAGTCTGGTCAAACCACCTAAAACTACAATTCCAAACACCAGCCCTGCTGTTCCGAGTAACCAATAACCAACTATAGGTTTTGTTGTAACTTGTGATCCTTTAAGCTCCCTTTGTATTGTCTATATAAAAAAAGTAATTCGAAAACTGATAAAGCAGAAATTGATACTACGATAATAATTGAACGTGATCAGCTTACTTTAGATCCAATGTGCTCCGATACGCTTCTTACAATCGTCCTTCTATCCTTCGCCAAAAACCCCCGAGTTGCTTCTCTTAATTTTGTAAACAGGACATTGGTTTTATTTCTTTCCTTTTTAAACTGCTCAATTGAAGCATTTTTTACGTTTAATAACGTTCCCTTGTCCTTATTAATGAAAAAAATTTACTTTAAATGCTTAAAATCATTCAAAAAAATTATCTATTCTTTTTTTGACCTTGATTAATTCTTTGTTTTACCTGAATAAATTCTTGTATTAATGTATGTGAAGTTGGTTTGTATTTTAAAAACCTACAAAACCTATGAAGCATTGTTAATAATAATACTAAAATCAGAGAAACGTGAAAAAATTTATTTTACGAAGATTTGGAAATGTGATTTTCTTACCCAAAAAGGAAACAGAATTGCCTTTTTGGAAGATAAACGCATTGGTTTCTAGTACATATGGGGCATACTGCAACAAAACCGGACAAAGTGAACACTTGTATTAAAAAGAATTTCAGGATCAAAATTTAGTCATTTGTAATGTGATTAATATTAACAATTTTAGTTAGTTTCTTAAGTGATACAGTCAACCCTCCATAAGTGCATCTCCTCCATAAATACTCCCTTTGTCCCAGTCCCAAGCTCGGGACCTAGAGATAAGTGCACTCCCTCTATGTTCTGCACTGCACGGTCTTTTCCTGGTCCCATTTATATAAACTCCTCTCTAAGTGACTTTCACGTGACCAAGCTGCAATATAAAAATTTAGTAATTCCATGTTACATGTACACTAATAATGACATTTTATTAAAACATTGTAAAATAATAATTCAAGTAACAAGTAAATAAAGAATTCTTTCTTTTTAATTGATATAGAGAATTATTAGAATAACAAAATAAGAATCCAGGAGACAAAGCTCTTATATTTTTATAGTTGGGATTATTATATAAAGGTAAAGGAGGGATCATAACAGATAAAATTAAGAATTTTAATAACTAAAATCTAATTATGCTTATTACTTTAAAAAAACAAAAATATCCAGTTATTATATATCAATCTTCTAATTCATTATTATCAATAAATTAAATTAACATCATTGAATCATTGTTCACTGTAATTCATATTCTTTTATAACTTCCAAATAAAAATAAATGTCTTCAAGTAAAATAACTTTATCTGATACCCAAAAATATGAATTTTGCTTATTTGCTGCAAATGATAAATTGACCAGAAAAGAATATGTTGCATGGATTGAACAAAAATGGGGGTTACAGTTCATTAATCAACAATAATTAGAACTATACAAAAAGTAGAGAAATAATTAGCCAAAATTACCAATCCAGAAGCAAAAAGACATAAATCTGTGATTGTCCCTGAACTTGAGTTGGCTTTTAAGGAATTTGTTTTAGTTTACCAACACAAAGCAATCTTAGGTGATGCTATTTTAGTTGAAAAGGCCAAGCAAATCGCAACTGGGTTAGGAGTTTTTGAAGGAACTTTAACATTTAATTTTTGTATTGTAATAATTTTATAAATATAATTTTTTTTTTAATTTTTCATTAGCGTCACATGCAACCAATAAAATACTTTTGTTCTATAAATGCACAACTGTAAATTGTTTTTGAATTGGCCATCAAAACAATAGGGGGTTGTTATACAATACATACACACATAATAAATAATAATTTGTGTATCAGTATGTTGATCAGATCAAAAATTTCTTGTCATCATTAGTGGAAAGATAGAAAAGTAAGAGAAAGCAACAAGAGGATCATGAAGAATCACAATTCTCATTTAAAAGAATAGTGGTGTTGGTTGTGATCATTACAACTCATTGTTATTCTAGTAAATGAATATTATAATGATTTAAAGATTTTTTTACTGATAATGAACCTGAAGGAGACTTGAATAAACAAATACAAATATCAAAAGAGAAATTGAAAGAATGAGAAGTCATCTACTAAATCTAAAAAAAAAATTAGCAAATGAAATGAGTATAAACGAATTGTTACTTGAAGAGAATGAAGAACTCAAACAACAAACATTAAAATGTAAAATTTGTCTTGAGCAAAGACTAGTGATGATGGTAGTAATTGTATTTATGGCATATAAAAAATGGTCACAATTACCTTTGCAACCACTTTTATCACGTCACTAGTTTTTAGTCTTGAGGAAAATATAGCACATTGTTTTTCACCATGTCACCATCTTGTGTCATGTGAAACATATGGATATGAAGTTAATAATTGTATAATATGTCAAAAGAAGATAGAATCATATATAAGAATTTATTTTTAATATTAATATTTAAACAAATATTTCAATCACAATTAATTGAATTTTGGCACCACAACTTGATGTAGAGATCAGGAGGAACCCCGCTTATTTGATGCAACAATTTAAAACACAAGCAAAGATGAAGAGGATTTTTAATTTTCGAGTTGCATATTTTGTATGCAGGTTAAAATAATAAATATATAATAATAAGATGCAAGCTAATTTGTGATGTTGATATGAGTTTTTGATCCTTGTAATTATATGTAACACAATGTTCATTTTGTCTGGTTTTGTTTCAGCATGCCCCACATCAGATCTACCATGAAGCCCAAGAATTACAGCATTATTGGTGGTATTTTGAAGAAGGGCAAGGAGAGAAGATTGCACCTTATGTTTTCAAAATAAATGATACTAAGACACTTGAAACTTATCTAAGAGAAGAAAGGATCACTTATGAAATTTACCAAGAAGAAAGAAAAATAATAAAAAAGAAAATCAATAGAGAATAATTTGCTGTCTAATTTTAGAATAATATAATGAATATATTATCTTTTAAAGATTAAAGAAGTTAAAAGAAATAGGTTTGATAAAAAGAATTAGCATATGTTGGTCTGGATTCCTTGGGTTTTACTTCAATTATTTGCTCTTGTTTCTTTTTTAAGTGAATTTTCTCATTTATCTTTTTTGTAAAATGCAATAGTTTATTCTTTTTCCTTGGTAATGCTGGTAAAGATTTGTTGGCTAAATATAATTCTTGTTTTAGTTGCTGAATTTCTTGGGCTTGTTGGTTTATTTCTTGCTCAATTCATTTCCCTTACCTTGTAAGAAGCACTTTCTTTTAAGTCTTTTTCAACTTGATGTATTTGATTGATAAATCTTTCTTCTCAATCTTCTAATCTTACTAAATTATTTAACTCTTGTTGTTCTAATTTTATATTGTCAATTACTTCTTTTACTTTTTACTTTTTATTATTGTATTTATTACCATAATATATTATTTTATATTGGTTTTGGACAAGTAAGATCTTTAAATTCATCCCTTACAAATGGGCGAATATTATTATAAAGGTATTCTTGTCTTTTGTAGTGTGTGATAGTAAAACTTGGACCTATCAATTACCCGGTTAATATTGACCAATTAGAACGAATTTACTACGGAAGTCATGTGATGTGCTAAATATTATTGTAATGCTATGCTGCACATTGCGCAGTGTCATATGAAAGATTATTCCTATTCATATTTATATTTATATTTATTAACCTACTCATCTGATGTAAATATTTATTTAGAATTAGTAATTAGTTGATAAGCATATTAT